TTTATATTTTGGCACCATCAGTACTAAGTGTAATAATCTCAGAGTTGGGAACATATGGAGTGAAATCATTCTATCATTCATTTATCACATCAACTCCTTAATTGATAAGGAAGGAAATCTAGTTAGGTTATGGATAGAATTGGTTGAAAAAAAAAATCTTCCACCTTATATGTAAAAGAACAACATATCGTCCTTGCGAACAACGACTTAATCTAGTAGTAATACTGCTAGTCTTGAAATCTCTAAACAGTATATAGGAAGGGTGAATTAACAAATTGCATAAATTAGAGGACCGTTTGAGTGAATCTAATAATTAACATTGTCATTAGTGCATGGCAATGTTTGACTAAATCCCGGGAGATCAGCTGTACACGGCCCGCTCTGTAGATGAGCAGAACCGTTGACCGTTTTTCTTTTCCTTCTAGAAGTACCGACAGGAAATCTGCTAGAAACCGCAGATTAAGGTAGGGAAAATGGAAGTACTGTGGAATCATGCATTCAAAATTTATAAGCCAAAACCGCGGCGGTGATGGAATTAATGGAGGAGTTGTATATTTGTGTCAATGGAGAACACGTACATATAGTCTCTCCTACGTGCACAGTACTAGTGGATCAAGGAATTTGACTACCCAGGCTGCCCAGTGAATTGATGTGGCAAATGAATTGATGGGTCGTTCATAGATTGGATAGTTTAAGTCTCAATTGGATTTATAGATTGATAATTTTGGAATAAATGGATTGGATTAGTTGAATTTTATTAGTAGAGGAATTGGACGAGATTGAAATTGCCACATATGGTAGTGAACATGTTGGCTGTGATTAATCATTATCATGCTCACATATTCTCAGTCTTTCGATATATAGAGAATCAAACGATTACGTACAGTGCACCTCAAAATCGTAAAAAAAGTTTGAGCAGTTGTGCTACATTCATATCCCGAAGACCTGAACGCAGCATAATCCAAACAAATATATTTGGTTGGTAATGGAGGATGCAAAAAAAGTATGCTTACTCCTCGCACTATATCTGTTTACACCTAAAATTGACTTTGTACCACATTGATTATTCACAAGGCAATAACTGTCTTTATAAGGCCAGATCAATTATAAAAATTAATATTATTTAAGCGGGGTGTTATGGTACTAGATTTTTAGGTCCAAACCACTAAGTCTCCGGGAAGGAGCTAATCTCGTCGCAAGTTGGATAGACCGACGTGGTCGCAAGATCTAGACCACGTTGGCATCAAGCCTAGTAGACCAACGTGGTCGCGAGATCTAGACCACGTTGGCGTCAAGCATAGTAGCTCGACGTGGTCGCGAGATCTAGACCACGTTAGTGTCAAGCATAGTAACCCGACGAAAGGGGTCGCCAAAATCACACCAGACAACCCATTGACCCAATGTCAACTTTTACATTTTTATCTTTCCTCTGCAACTTTTAGTCATAGTCGTAGATCTGAAGCTCTCACCGAACCTCTAGGATAATTTAATGTAAATTTATGTCTCTAAGTCGTGTAAACATCGAACATCCTCGTTCGAACTTTGCTTGAAGAGGTGTGAGCCGTGTCTTAATGATCGTTGTCCAAAGAAGTCAAGGTGCAATCAATTTTTCATTCAACCCAAGTTTCTCGCCCGGAGAACAATATCAAACTATATATAGCTAGTCTCATAGTGACATGATATGTAAATACATGAATTGAAGGTGTCTTGAAAATACATAGCAAGTACGTGCTTACGACAATCCAATAATATACTAGGTGGGATGTTTCAGTATCATTACCACACCATGCCAGCTTACGACGATCCGACGACTGACTATGAGCTTAATTAGGAAGAAGAACACCCGATCCCGTTGATTAGGGAAGAAAAGGATGGTAATTAATTAACCAGGAAGTGGACCCCAGATGTAGGTTAAGCACATGGCAGAGCTCCATCATTACCTGAATATCTCCCTTCCACTGTCTCCTCTCGTCGGCAGCTATTTAAGTTGTGAACTTAGGAGCTGTCGAAAAGTACTTGTTAATGGGGCCTCCCGGTTTCAAGGGGAGAGGCTTAATAAAATTAAAGGCAACATTTTTATATGTGGTGCGGTACAACGATTTGAGGTGGCGGTGGTTGTGGTGATTTCCATTTGCCCCCTGCTTTCTGGACGGCAAAATTTGCCGGTTTGTGCATGCTTACCGTGGGCTTTGTCTTCCCGTAAGCAAATTCTTGGAGAAATAGAGAATCATCATTTGGGTTTAGGGGCCATTGTTCTCGATTCTATGCTATCAATAAAGGTGAAGCAGCGGTTAGTATGGGTTTGATGTTCGCCACTTTTGCCAATCTTGGTGCTGCTTTTATTTGCCGCCACCATATGATTAATTAAGTTGATGTGTGTGTGATTGGAAATATAATATCTTCTTTCACCAAAGGAAAAAACGGAGTATCTTCTAATCATCTAGTTTAGAGGTGGCAATGGCCTTCTCAATCCGAGTTTGGAAGTGAGATAGTATGTACCATAACAAATACGGAGCAATTTTTGTGAATAATTTAGCTGTTTTTTAAAAAAATGTGTTTGATTCGGTTTGACAATATATTTTTCATCAGGTTTGTCGAAACTCTAATTTCACATAAATGAAATTTGTATAAAAATCGATTATTATGTTACTTGCGAATTGCTATCAAGTTATTAGATGCGTGATCAGATTTTATAGATCAACCCTGCTAACCAAACATCTGTATTGTATATATCATCACAGAGTCACTAATGTGATGACGATTTCCAAATATTAGTATCATAGCTACGTTACAGGAGTTTCTAAATATTCACGTGCCACTAATTTGATGAGACTTCCTTAAAATGAGGGATTTTTTTGCCTCTTTCATTTTTCAGAATAGCAATTTATCCCTCCAAGTTTGAGCTCATGCTCATATATAGCAACTTAATTATATCATGACCTGTTCAAATTCGTGACACGACTTAAAATTTGTGTTATGGGACAATCCAAGTACCACATCGGTAATACAAGGGAAGGAACCCTTGTATATTAGAGTCCACCTAGCCCAATTAGTACGAGGCCTTTTGGGGAGGACACCCAAGAGTAAAACCGTGCGGGCTTGGCCCAAAGCGGACAATATCGTACTAATTGAGCACCCTGATTTCGACAAATTGTATTAACTGCTACAATATTACCATCTCAAAAACCCCATGAAATGAAAGTAATTCAATAGTACACAGCACAGTACTACGTATACACTTGTCCATTTTGGAGGCCTACAGGCTACAAGGATACGAATGAAATGATGATGATGATCTGGTGTGTGTGAGATCTAGCCTAGCTAGGGTAGGGTGTGGGTGCCCCATAGAAGTTGGGACATTTATATCCAAAATGCGAAGCAGAGGTGTGGGCATGGCTGTCTTCGTCACTTCCCATGAAAAGGGAACGATGTGCATATATACTTATGCGTGAAAAAAACACATGCAAAGTGCTGCCACATCTCGTGATCGCGGCGTGACTCCATTGATGCACCCTTCCACCCTCGCCTGACACACCACACATGCATCTCCACCACCGATGTGCTCGATCTTCTTTCATTCATTCTTTCCATGTGCGATGAATGCAGATCCTTGAAAAGGAAGGGTTGAGTTGGGTTGGGTTGGATTGGAGTGCTCTCATAATTATGACTCTTATGGCCCATGATATTTATATAGGCAAATTTTGGGTTCCTTATATAACTGCTAGTTAGACACACAGGTTTCTCATTAAGGTGCCTTGCAACTGTCTTGCGAAAGGGACCGAATAATTAGCAAACTGCAAACACAACCCTCCCAGCAGACAAAAACGTTTTAGCAACTTAGTGAAAATGATCGATGGCGACGATGATGTTTCGTATTTTGTATATGCATGCATGTTTGTTTTGTTTAGAGAAATCCGTTTCTCTATCAATAACTGTCACCTACTCACCTTTAGGGCTGATTATTTGGTCCGTTTTTTTAGTTTTACCAGACACCGGATCGTATAATCCGGATTGGGACCGGATAGTAAACAATCCAATCCAATCTTAATTTAGGTTTAGATTTGAGGTAAAAAAATCGTTTGGGACCGGATCGAAAACTGGATAAAGACCAGATAAGAGAGCTCAACACCCAAAACTTAAGGGTAATTTGCATAAACGGTCACAAATCTTTGCACTTAGTACAAAACTTAACCAACTCCTTACCCTTTCAGGCCTTAGGCCACTAAAATCCCCACAAGCTTAATATAAAATCAAGACCGAATTGGGACCGGACCGGGTCAAAATCGGATCTGATCAAGACCGGACCGGACCGTATCCAATCCAATCTTTGGTCCTTATATTTTTAAAAAGACCAGACTGAACCGGATCAATTGGACCAATTTAATCAGACCGGACCGTGTAGCCACCCCTACTCACCTTTAATTGAACAGGTTAAGTAAGTATTTAGTGAGTTGAAGTATAAGATGTGTTTAATATTTGTTTGATTGTTAAGTGGGTTGTAATATTTTCTGTTCATAATTAATCGTTTAATTAGTTCAGCTCGTGAATATACATATATGCTTGATAAGTCGGTAAAATTCTATCTGTGAGGCCAACGAAGAAGTGATTATCTGGCGACATAAGGCAGCTGATTTTTTACTAGAATATCTTTGACTTAGCTGGTTAATGTTCCACCTTTCCAACACCTGATCGATTATGGAAATAAGATTCAACCCACGTTTGGAAGCAGTCTCATCAGTCATCAAACATTCAAACCGTTTATTTCAGTTGAATTGGATTGGTGGGCAGTGAAGGGCCCAGTCTTGTTCGAACTGAATTAACACTAGCAGGCCTTCAAGAAGCAGGGCACGTAAAAAACTCGGTTTTGGTTTATAGAGTCGATCGCTTGGTAAGGCCCATGCGATATCGAGTAACCCAAGAATATTAAATGGGCCTGTTCTCCTGGAAGTCCAAAAAGAAGCCCAGATTAAAGTTGTTTCAACCCGAGGATCCGTTTCGGTACTCTTAACTCTTTCGGTCTTTCCCGGTTTCCCCTATCAGGATTCTACAATTCCCCGCATTCAACGAAGACTTTTCATTACCGTTCTCTCGCCGGCTGCTTCTGGTTCGGTGGAACAGACATGGCAGCTCAATCTCTAACTACCAATCTCCAGTCGGTCCACCAATCCTATCTCCAAAAACCCAAGCTCCAATCTCCAGTAATCCAGTCTCTCAAACCCAATACCCTAACGAACCCTTCATGGCTAGGCAATTTTCAGCCAATCGCCGAGCTCTCTCTGCATTCCTCAAGCTCCAGAACCCACCACGGCTCTTCTCTCCAACCCATTTGCGCTACCGTTTCCAGTCTCCCAACTGCGTAAATTCTCCGCATCCTCTCGTGATCTTTTGTGTCTTTCCTGCTGTACCAATTTCAGCGGGCTAACTCCTGATTTCAGGATTTTGCAGGAAGCCAGAGAGGTTTGCCTCGGGTGATAAAGTTCCCCAGTGAGTGATTGAATTTTGGATGATTTTTCCTTTTGTTTGTTTCAATTTTGTTTCTTTCAGTTGGTTTTGATGTGGATCTCTCATAGGTGGTCATGGAGGGCGATAAAGGCGTTTGCTTTGGCTGCATTGGAGGCAAGGAAGCTGAAATGCCCTAAAACTGGAACTGAGGCTCTTTTAATGGGTGTCATGATCGAAGGTAACTCATTCCAGCACACTTACCGGTTTAATTTGACTGTTCAACGGCTTGAATTGGATATAAAAAACTGTTCTTTATTGACAACTTCAAGAGAATGTTTCATCCTAATGCACTTGACGATTGATTGATTGTCTTGATGCTTAACTCATTGCAATGTGCTGCTTAACTGCGGAATAGAGTGTGCTGAATTTGGTTTGAGCTGTTGCTTTGCTGTGAAAATGTTAAAATCTGTTCTTGTTTCGAGTATAGGAACCAGTGTTGCTGCGAAGTACTTGTGGGGAAATGGTATTACGCTCTTCAAAGTGCGTGATGAGATCACGAAGTTGCGTGGGAAGCCTGACTTCTATTACTTCCCTCCCGAACAACCTCCAGTGACTGAAGATGCTCAAAGAGCACTTGATTGGGCCGTTGACCATGAAATAAAATCTGGTACGTTATGATGATGTTGATGTTGATTATGTTCTCCATTGTTGTCTGGGTTTTCTCTTTGTAGGTTGTTCATGCGAGACTGCGAGTATAACTTGTGTCTGTAACAAGTCAAAAAGAGTTTTATGAATGGCTATCTGCTTAAGGGGAAAACAAGCTTTTTTGGAAAGATTAGAATAATGGTCGGCTCGTAAAGTTCCTTATTAGTACATGTATGACTATTGATATGATGCTCATCAGGTATCAACTATGCAACATGACTCTGTTAGTTCCCAAGTGGATTTCAATTAAGGTTGCTGATTTCCAGTTGAGTTCAGTTAACCCTACATGTTGAGTTCCGGTCATGCTTCTTTCTATGACATGCAATGTCAGGTATTATGTTGACCATGCACTTTTTCTAAGAAAGCAGTTATTATAGGGATCCCAGAGCAGGAGCTCATGCTCATCCTTCTGATGAGCTGTTTGTTGGTCTCTTCTTGGGACGATTTGAGAGATGAGACTATGGCAGTTAGAAAAAGATTTTCCAGTGTCCTTTGCTTTGGAGATTACTGTTACATTTGAACTCTGCTTGTATAGGGTGTTTCTCTTGAGTTGTGCTTGTTATAAATGATTTTTCTCAGTTAGTAATTTCCTGGGAAAATGTCTCAGCTGTTCCCTTTTATGAGTTCGGTCTGCCATGAGGATATATTAAGTAATTCAGCCAGTGGAATTTTGTAAATGAGCAGAAGTAGAATGCTAATCTGTGTAATGGGCTCTGAATGTACAGGCATCAGTGGGGAAATAACAACGAGTGATGTGCTTCTCGGCATTTGGTCAGAAACTGATTCCCCGGGCCACAAGATCTTGGCTACACTGGGTTTTGATGACGAGAAAGCGAAAGAGCTGGATTCTAAAAGTGCTGGACCTGGGTTATTAGAGGGATGGCAGCAAAATTTATCATCCTGATAATTGTTGTTGCTCTTCATAATCAGGAATGCAACAGCTCATGTATCATAACTTATTGCTCATGATAGAATTCATAAACAGCATGCAATTCTTGCTCACTAGGAAGAAACAAGTTGAAGCACAATTTCATTGTTCTTTATCTCATGAATGTTGTAACATCCCAATAAATGATGGATCTCACTTTCCTGACAGGACTACTAGTAGTTGGAAGAGTCTAAACTAGATTGTCTTTCTCTCATGCTTGAACTGTCTGCTGTCTCATCTCACGGCTTTCGCCTTCTTCCCCTGTCTCACTCGACTTGCAGGCTAGCTGTTGTGCCTTCACAACTTCAGTTCCCCAATCAAGCCTACCAATGAAGATCAGCAACAACATCAAGCAGGCAGTCAACCCAGCCAAGAACCCTAGCAACAGCCCACTTAGCCCAAATCCTGCTTTGAAAGCCAAAAACACCCCAAGAGGCAGAGCCACAAGATAGAACCCACCAACATTTGCATACATCGCCAACCAAGGCCTAGCTGTTCCTCTCACAATGCCTCCACAAGCAGCCAAAGGGAAATTGACAATCTCCAAAACAGCCATAACCAACATGGTCTTCTTCACACCTCTTACGATCTCTTCATCGCTACTAAACAAAGCACCCCACTTCCCTCGAGCTGCTACCATTACCAAGCTCCCCACTAGCCCGAAAGCCACGCCTAAACCCATTGAGACAAATGCTGATCTTGAAGCAGCAGCAGACCTCTCTGCTCCAAGCTCATTCGAGACTCGACATGATGCAGAAGTTGCTACAGATAGCATCACAGAGAAGAGCAGGTAATCGAAGTTCATGACGATGGCTAACACACCTACTGCCTGTTTTGCATTTGTTAGGTGGCCAGTAAGCAGGACTAGAATCTCCCAGCACCACCATTCCAGGCATGTGCTGAGGCAGCACGGTCCGCTTAGCTTCAGCAATCTAAGCCAGTCACCGAGATCCTGATCAAGCCAACCCCCTTCCTTCCACTTCCCTCCCTTTCGATTCTCGCTCACCCACACGTATAACCCGAGCAAGGTCACAACCAGAAGATCAGTAATCCAAGTTGCCATGGAGACTCCTTTCATTCCCATGGTCCTGGAGAGCAGGATGTTGATTGGAATGTGGAACGCGAGGGCTAAGCCCGAGGTGAGCATGATGGGGATCGTGACGCATTGTGAGCTCAAGTAGGTCTTGAGAGGGCAGAGGAAAGACATGATCAACAAGTCAGGGAGAAGATAGAACAGATAATGTTTGGCAACGAGAGAGATGTCTTCCTGTTGCCCAAAATGGATGAGGATCTTGTCGACGTTAAGCCACAAGAAAGCTATGGGGATTGTGGTTACCAACAACAAGAGGATTGCCATGATTAGTGTCTTCTGCAGGAGCTTGAAATTCCTAGCTCCATTAGCCTGACCACAGATTGGCTCCATGGCACCACAGAGACCATTTAGGACTGAGAAACCTGTGACGTTGCCAAATGTTAGGCCGAGTGCCCCCCCTGCTAGCTGAAGCTCTCCAAGCCTGCCGAGGAATGCTGTTGTGATGGCGTTTTTGGCAAACCAAGTCAGGTTCATGGCTAGCAAAGGGAGGATTATTGGCCTTTGTGTCTTGAGCTCCCAGATAACACTGCCCACAAAATCTGCTGGCCATTCTGAACTGGGAATTGGAGTTGGGGAAGAAGTTGGAGAGGTTGTGGGAACTGGGTTCTCTTCAGAATTTTTTGCAGAAGACATAATGGCTCAAAAGATGGATACTTTGGGTCTATTGCTCTCTACAACTGCCAAATATATAATCTTTTCTTGAGGAATGGATTAGTGAGTGGAGGGATTAATCTTGGTTCACAAATGGTAAAAAGATTAGAAATGTGTGCATGGGTTTCGTGAAGCAGCTGGTTTGTTGCAAAAGGAGGAAATTGTGGCTTTTGGGTAATCAGGTAATTGATGGGGGGAGAGCTGGTGATAATTCTGCAACTTATAGTGGGTGGTGACATGGGAACGGCCAAAAATGTTGAGAACCAATATCAGGCTTTTGCAGATTTCTTTCCTCTTTTCTGGAAAAGTTTTCAGATTTCTTTCCTTAAGACGGCAATTGGACAATAATTGCAGTTGGGTAGTTTTGTATGAAGTAAAATACTGTTGGGAAATGAGTTTGGTTCAGGGGTCTCCGGATTAAATACTTTTGGCGTGAATAGATGAAAAGATTGAGTCCAATTAAGAGGTTTCTGAATTAAATAAATTTAGCAGATGGATGTTTCATCTTTCGTATCAACTTATTACTGGAAAAAAAAAAAAAAAATACAATGAGACGTTCGAAGAGAAAACCATGAGGTAAGGATGATCACCTTATAGTGAGTGCTTTTTTCATGTGAAGTGAGTTTGAGCACACTTATTCTGTCTGGTGGTTTCTTATCTCCCTCCTCATTGTAGAATTATTCCTTCCATTCTTTTATCTTTCACTTGCCTATGTACACAACCAAAAAAGCAAAATTTCTATGCCCTTTTTATATTTTTTTTTCTCACCATTATAAAATGATTTTAATTCTATGCCAATGTGTATAATATGTACATTTAGATATTCCATTTTTGGAATATCCATTAGTTTGAGATCCATATCTATCTCCCCATGATCAATTTAACTTTATCACACACCTTCACCATGCATACAAGTAGAGCTAGCTAATTAAATGGCATATATGCCCATGTACCTAACTCACTTGCTTAGCTTCACTAGGGATTAAGATTCATGTGTAAGAACTGATTCATTCAAGTGCTCTTTAAAAGATACTTTAGTAATCTCTAACTTATAGTCTATGGAAAAATTTCTTTCTAATGTGTGAGGAAAGGATACAGTTTTGAACATAATATTTTTTTTTTTTGAACGGAAACATAATAAATTTCATTCATGATCAACTTAGCTTTTCCATATTGATAGACATAGTCTATTGTTTATATATGTTGGTCAAGGAAAATTCTAAACTCTTAATAATTAATGAAAAGACCATATATCATTATTGACAACTCATGATGTCTTAGCTTTTCCATCTCGATATTAGTTGTTATAAAAAAAATTCAATATTAGTTAGTTTTTTTTTTAATTCTCAAGGGTGAATTTTGTATGGTGATCCTTTAACTTATGAATGTTGTTAATGGAATGCAGTTGGCCTTGATGTCATACATGATTGTCATTGATTTTCTCTTGTTTTTATTTCTAGACATACTATCAACGACAATTGTTACTCCTCATTCTGTTAACCGAATTATCCATACGCTAGTACAATATTGCTACATAATTATTTTTATAAGTTTCCAGTTTAAATTAATGAAAATTTCATGTAATTTTCAGTAGTTAAAAATCTTATGTAACTTGCATGGCCCCAACCGGCTAACGATACTCTTTTTTTTTTCATTTTTCTTCCTAATCAAACATACTTTTCATTTGAACTCGGGCCAACAAAGAATAGGAAAATAAGAAGAATGAAGGGGCAAAAAAATGGAGACTTGCTTGGTTATACCAAACACCTCTCCCTTTGCTCTTTTGTATTTTTATTTTGTGATGACCACTTTGGTTTCCACTACTTGTTCCCTATTCATAAAGCAGGGAAATGTTTGATTTTTATAAGTCTTTTTTGCATTTATGCTATGAAGCTGGCCTCATATGCTCCCCCTTTCATGATTGAATGTTGCTCTCTTATTCATCAAATAATTTTTATACATCAAAATGCTTTGAGCCTAATTCGATTTTCATGTACAAAAGTTGTATACGGCAAGATGCCATTAACATTGATATTATAGTTGGCTGCCCCCACATAATACATGCAAATTCTCAGCTAATGGTTACTTGTGTGTCGATCCTTCTTTCCTTCTTCGGAGGGTTGGTTTGCCTTCTCATCCAGTTTGAGATTGACCAGATGGGCTTTTGCTTTGTTTATTCGGAGTTCTTTCCGTCTAGTTTGGTTTGCTTCTTTGTGTTCACTCGCTGAGCCATTTCCTCGCTTGATATGCAACACTGGGCCGTACTATTCTTAGAACTTGAGAGAGTAGATTCTCGGTCATTTCATAGGAGAGAGATAGAAGAAACTAAGCGAGCCTTGTGTTCTTGTTCCATAGCACAAGATGGAGAATCAATATAAAACGGATCATCAAAATATTAGAATATAAATCATGACAGTAGCGGAAGTAGACACCAAAAGGAAATTCCAAGGATCAAGGGCACTCGGGGCTGGCAACTAACCCCTACGAGGAGCGTCGGGCAATTAAAGAATGCAACTCCTGGGATGTAGGGGCAATGACTCAAACTAAACTAAAGGGTAGGCTCGTCAACAAAGAAGCAGATGCAGACAGGAATGTAGGCTTTTCAAGTGAGCAACTCGTTACTTCCTTGGTTGTTAGCTTTGCCTTTCACTTTGGAGACAAAAACCGAATGTCCTAATGTGTCGGAGGTCCATATTTGGCATAGCATTTCCTCAACCCGGTAATCCGATTCAATGAGAAGTTGAAAGATCTATAATGAAGAGCACTGACCAAAGTAAATGTCAATCTAAAGGCAATTACGGAATATATGGGTTTCGACCTATCTTTGAAAGAGAGTAAACCCCGTAAAATTGACTGTTGCATCATTACCAGGCTCTTGACTTGCAGGATCGGGAATAACCAAGAAAAATAGTGTGTGCGGGCCTAGCTTCGAGTGTTGTTGGCACCGTAGTTAGCATTCAACCTCGGGGTTCGAAAAACCTTGTTAGGCACCTTTATTTAAAGGAAGGGTTGAAGCCGGATCGAGATGCTTCACACTCACACAGTAATGGATAGTACAATAAGATAGTCAGCTGCCCAATCTCGATCGTAGATTGGAAACCTTGGAAAAGGCGGATAGCGAGACGAGATAAGGCTTTTCTTCCTTAGATCACACCTTTTTTTCTACGGATCCCGCATTTCGCTAAACGTTGAAGGGAGATAGTGCATCAAGCTGTTTGCAAGGGGCAACTTGATCCTCTTCCCCAGGGATCCCAAATAAGGGAACATGCGGGGAGCAGCTGACTCCAACTATCGTCCATGTACGATCCATACTAGATATGACCAACTGCCCATCCTACCTCCTTTACGTTCTTGACAACCCATCCCTTTTTAAGAGAGTGGCTCAAGAAAAAAGATCAAAAGGTAGAGTGCGAGGAGTGTTAGGAAGCTCTTTCCCCGGGCAAAGAACCACAACCCCGGTCGGATGAATGGAGGACCGACCGACAAGGGTTTTCATGAGCGTTGACGGGTCCTTGAGTGCCTGTCAAGGACGCTAGTGCATACCCCTCAACCGGCAGGGGGACAGGAGGCGACCATCTCGAGGCATATCACGCCCTACAGGCAAGACCGACGAGACCCGGGAGGGCAAACCGATTGGGAGTCAGAGGATCCATAGTACCTGGAGTCCTACGGACTTTATATTCATCATTTTGAATTTGACAATTCAGTGTAGAACTATACCATTGCCTTACACAATCTTGTTGCTATGAAATGGTAGTACCATTAGGTAGAGGAGAGGAACCCTATTTCATTTAGACTAAGGTCTATGGCAACTCAGTTTTCTTTCTACCTTCTTCACCGGGATAGGGAACTTTTCTAGGGACACAAATAGAGCATGTGCAACAAGTGCTACTGCCCCTTTCTTCTTGGACGGGGGGTAATGCCCCTCTTAGATTGCTTTTCCTACCCGTATGGCCCGGGACATCAAGTCCTCTTGCCCCCTTATCTTTATCTTTAGCTAGCTTATATAATGACAAGTTTCTTTCTTGGCTTGAAGGGGGGTGAGCTTTCACCTGGCCATTGTTGTCTCTCGGCGCATGTCTATTCGGCAATTGGATATTTCGTTTGCCTTCCTTCACGGTGAGCTCAAGGAAATTGTCTTCATGGTTCAACCCTTCGATCGAGTATATTGCATAACCTCTTCCTCCCACAGACCTTGGTGAAGAGGAATCTGGGTCACCCAGGGTATATATCATTTTTCCTTGACTTTTTTCGTGTCAACAAACAATTCGAAATGCCTCGGCTATTTTAGAACTAGTTGGTCTCAATAATTCAAGTTGTTGAGAGATGTTCAATAGTCATTCAAAATCATATGGGGTTTGAAACTTGCACAAGTCAGAAATACCATGTGCTTAACAAATATGGTCACCAAGATTTGAAAACAAGGCTATTCGGTCCAATAAAAAACTCTCATACTATGTCAAGATTAGTTGATCGCAATAACTCAAATTGATATAATAAATTTAATAATGAATCTTACACCACATACTAACTACTCGTACGAAATGAGTGTCTCAAAGAATGTTCTTGTTCTTTCCATGTGTAAAAGATGATTATACTCGCGATCAAGAGTTGGATTGGGGTATTGTTTTGAAGAGAGAAATGGTTTTCTTTATGAGACAAGAAATTATTTGTATTTCAAGCAGAGTATTCAACAGTCTACATGAAAAAAAAGCAGGAGAATCCATTCCAATCTATCTACACATATATTGGACAAAGAATATTGGAAGAAAGCACAATTTTAATTAATAGAACCACATACTAAACAAAATTATGATAGAGAAGGGATGAGTTAGCATACCCTTAAAGTCGAATGAATAGAATGTTATAGACATACATACCCCTAATTCATATTAAACAACATCCAACACTAATCGTCCTTCTAATCCAATCCTTAATCCTTTTTTCACCGTAGTGGATTGGGGTATCTTTGCAATGGAATCCGAGGTGTACATCAGTTGGGGGCCCTAATTTTATTTTGTACCAACTACCAAGTACCGAGTAGACTTACAAATTGAGAATAAATTGTAGCCACAAGTGTTAGCAACTAAAAATACCAGTTACCTAACTAGAAAAATACTGATAAATAGATTATATCAAAATATTTATTTATATTTGTTGGGGGTATTACCCAGCGAGCTAGGGGACAAAGCCCAAAAGAGTAAAATGCCAAGAGCCAGGTGGCGGCCAACCGGCTGGTGGTCCACGGCCTGGGGCGCCTGACAGGTGTCAGGAGTCTGACAGGGTGGTTAGCTGTCACACAGAGCACCAAAAGCCAGGTGGCGACCAACTGGATGGTGGGCCGCGGCCTGCAGGCGCCTGTCGTGTGTCAGGAGCCTGGCAGAACTGTGGAACGCCAGTCAGGTGTC